AAAAAAAAAAAAAAAAAAAAAAAAAAGAGCAATTAATATACCAAGCAATGGCCTTTCCAGGAAGGGATCATGAGAGGCAGACTACTTGGCGATAAGTAAACTTTTGAAGACACAGTGGACCAAGTAAATGAATCAAAGTTAAGCACCTGTACATTCAAATAAAAACTGAGAAACTAGTGCTTGAAACCAAAATAAGTTAATTCTCAATAGTATCTTTACCTGTACATCATCCAACAAGCCATTACCAGATTCACCACCAACTACTATCATTTTATTACCAATAGCTGCAGCCGCATGCTGTCATAAAAACCAATTATTTTTGTTTCCCATTAGTCTTTCAAAACAGCTCAGAAAGCTAATGATTAAAAACTGAGACAAACTCGTTACATTAAAGCGTGGAGCTGGTTTATCTCCACTAACAGATAAACCCATCCAGTTTTCAGAATTTCCAGATGAAGGCTGGAAATCAAGTTCATCAGAATGACTAGTTGCATCTAAAGCAGGAACATTCTGCAAACATGTTTTTCTTTACAAGTCAGATAACAGTCAAAATTACCAAACAGTTGTGTCTTTTCTGTATATATAGCATAGCTTACAGTAGAGTTATCAACGCGTTTGGTCACACGCAAAGGACTCTTAGTTCCTTGAGCAGAATCCGAGAGCTGTACCTTAACTCTGATCAAAATTACATCCAATATTTAAGAGAAAGAGGAACATAACAGATTAATCTAAAAATAGAAACCCCCATTTCAAAGATTACTACAATAGTACTAAAGAAAGGAACACTATTATAAAAAAGAGAGTTTGCTTTTACAGTAAGCTTAAGAAAGATTCTCCAAAAAGTGATTCATAAATTAAACGATTATTCGCTTATTAAAAAAGGTAGCCTTAAAAAAGCTTCCAACTTTTAGAAAATCAAAACAAACCCCAAAAAGGTGATCTGATCTACAGAAAGCGAAAGAAAGAAGACTAACCTGCCAAGCTTCATGCGTCTCTTTGAAAAGCTGAACATTTTCTTACAACTTTTCACTCAAACCCTAAAAAAAAAAATTGAATACGAGAATTAGTTGCATTGTCATCAATCCTGACATGCTCAAGAGCAAGAACCTTCTGAAACTATTGAAATAGAATCCGTCCTTAACTTGTTACAATGAATCTAATCTGACAAAACAGAGATCTACTTAACACCCAGAAGAACTCACCTGTTTGTTTAGTCTGAGAAAATTTTCAGTAAATAGAAAGAGAGAGAAGAGTATCAATTTCTAGAGAGAGGAATAACAACAACCACCATAGCTATCAGATATCCACAGCTTCTAAAACGAATCAATACGACGTCGTATTAAATCGTAACAAGCTGGCGCAGATAAATGATTGAGGGGGTTAGATTGATATATTTGCTTATGGAAGCACATAAAGTTCTTGTCTTTAAGCAAAATAACTCAAGGGACCAACCAAGTTCGTGTCTTTTTAAAACAGTAAAAAGGAGAAACCCCGGATCTTGTAATGACCTGGGCCAACTTAGCTGTTCGAGAGAGGGATAAAAACAACGGGTTGTGATGTTTTTGATGCAAAGGTTCGTTTTGAGTTAATGGCGACATCTTTTGTCTGTTTCTGCTATAAGTTGTGATTTGAGTTCGCCGATGACATTCAATGCTTTGCGAATTGCGACGCCTTTGTGGGTCCCCCTTCCCTACCTTCGCTGCTTCCCGCGATTTAAACTTTAATTATTTTCTGTTTTTGTTTCCTCTCTAACCGATAGTATGATTAGTTGATTACTTACTAACTAGGATTAGACCCGCGCCTTGCGCGGGATGAGATGATTAAATTTGTTGTATTTTTGAAGATAAGAAGACATTATATCTGTTTTATTTGCATATTAGTTTGTTTTGGATTGTTTGTTTCGATTTTTAATATCGTCCAATTATATATCTATATTATAAATATTGTCTTTTTGGTTAAGTTGATAGAGACGAAAAAGTAACACTCAAGATCATGAAGAAAACATTATTCCGGTTGATAAACGTTTTTTAATACGTATAACTTTTGTCTCATATATCTGTTTTTTTTTTGTCATCCACATGACATGGACACACGTAAGATGAAAGTATATTACTGTCAACACCATTAAGAGTATTGAGACAATCCCAAATCTCCTTTTAGTCTCGAGATGGGTTGCGAAAATGCTCATTTCGAGAAGCAAATTCTTGACTTGTATAACGAAATCTCCAATCTCAAGAGCCTTAAACCTTTCACATACATATGTTGACAATTTGTTCAATAGCTCATGTCCACGTCCTTGCCTATGGATACAAATATCGACGTTGAAAACTTGTGCCCAAAAGTCTAAAACATCAGAACAAATCTCACCAACCTACGTAGTGAAGATATAGAGTATTCAGAGCACCACTACTATACGGTCTTGGGATCTCTCGAAGACAACACACTTCACCATTTAGATCTACCCTCAGTACACTAACTACCTCAAACTTAGCAAGGTTGAGTTCAATCTCTTCACGCTACACACGAGCCATGTCCAAACCAAGATCGCGTTCATGGGCTCTGGTACGCTGCCCTTCACATCCATCATCTTAGATACGTCCCACCTCCCAAATAACGACGTTCCAGAACTTTGACATCGACCCTCAAGCCAATTTACTTGCTTCCGAACTTGTCTCACGCGATATTGAACTTTGTAGTTTTAAAGTATCTCGTGTGTTTTATAATTGAAATAAATAAGGTAAACAATTGGTAAAGTAAATAAGGTAATATATTGTGAGAAGGTAGTAAATAAGGTAATAAATTGTGAGAATGTAGTAAATAAGGTAATAAATTGTGAGAAGGTGTTGTGAAAACATTTAATGCAAAATGCTTCTCTTTTAATATATAAGGGATTAAACACATGTTTTAGTGTTTTTATGTATAAAATATGAAAACCTCTTTCGTTTAGTTATCTTAGAATACAGTTATGACTTATAACTGAACCTAAATTTAAATATTACTTTATCTTTTTAATTTTAAATTTTATAAATAAATATATAAATTAATTAATAGTACAAGATTTTACTGTTGTGTAAAATTACAATGATTCGGTGCAGTTTACTGGCTTGCAATATTTGTTCTTTTTGAAATACTGGATTTGAATATGGACAGTAATGATAGTTACACAAACTACTAAACATTGTAATCTTTTTTTCATTAATATATTACATCCTTCAGGTCAATCTATACTTTCTTAAAAGTTCATATATATAAGCTCGCACTTTTTAAAATTAAGATAACGTGAAAAACAACTAAAAAGACAACCCCCTGATTATTGATCGTGCGTGGATTCATATCACCATGTCAAAGATCATAGATGTGTTGTGATAGTTATAAACATTATTCTGCGTACTTAACTTAGTGTTAAGTAACTAGTAGTAGTTAAATATATTAAGTCAAACCCACAATGCACCAGCCCGCTTAAGCTTAGGGATCAATGAGCCGTTAAGGTGAAGACTCATGACCTCGTTGGCTCCACCAACTAACTCTCCTCCGATAAAAACCGCTGGAATCGCCGGGCTACACCCAAGCCGCAACAACGCCTGCTCAATCTCCCTCCCTCTGGAGACCTCATCCAGCTCGTAAACTGCTGGATTCGCTCCAAAATCGCAGAGCAATGTCTTGACCGTGTGGGACATACAACATGAGCTTTTGCTGTATATCACCACTGGTCTCTCCAAAACCATCTTCGTTATCATCTCCATTAATAGCTAGTTTTATATGAAGCTAAAAATCAAACTGTTTAGTTCTTGTTTTCTTTTTGTTTTTCTTACTTTTGGAAAGGTTTATGAATCAATATCTTTGTGTTTTACGGGCGTAAGAAAATATCGAAAACTTTTATTAAAGGTTCAAGGGGAAATAAGAAAACTCTTGATTCGACTTGAGTAATAAGGTGTTGTGAGAATGTTGTGTGTGGATATGAAATTGGTGAGAAGTCTCTGTTTATATAGAGGCATCGAATACGATGATTATTGGATCAGATCGGACATGATGTTTGGATTTTGTTTCTAACGATATCGTGTCCGAAAGTGACACATGCAAGTTCAATTTTATTTTGGATCACAGAATGTAAGTGATGAGAATCTAATGATTTTCCAAAAGGTTATCTTTTTAGTTGTCCATTTATGCATACTTATAGACTAGTCATATGGCGATGAGAATGTGTACGGTTCATAAAGCGCTTTACAAGTCAAGTTTAATATAACCATCATAAATCATTGATTAATAAAAGATAAGTATAGGTTTACATCGTTCTCGGTATATAGTCTAATATAACTTGTTGTGGCTAAACAAGGTAGAATATATAAGGTTTATTGATTGAATATCAAGGATTGACTTCAGATTAGTCATGGATTTCGTTCCTACGTGTCTTTGTATGTGTGTAGACCTTTATAAACCTACGTAAGCTAAGGTATAACTGGGTCGAACCACGAGACTAGACAGAGGTCAATGGACCTGTGCAGTAACAAGTACATGTTAACTAGTATATGTTCCGTGGAAGTTCATTTAATCAAAGAAAATCTTTAATTATACACCAAAATATATCGGTTTCGAGTGACAAAACGATTAATTAATATTTATGCATGCATATTAATGAAAAAAATCTTAGATGAGATTTTTAGTTAACCATTGTAATTTGTAATAGTATAATAAAATAATTTCATGGGATTTTTAGAATTAAGTTAATCTAATTAATTTCACTCACTTATCATAAAAGAGTTCATGAATCAGAAACATCCAAGCTCAAGGGCGAATCTATGCTATGACTGTTTTTTCTTTAAGTTACTGTAATTTTGTACAGATTTTTAGCAATGCCTCTGATAGCAAATATTTTTGGATCCGCCACTGTCCAAACTTCTTAATTAATTTTTACAAGTCTAGTTATTCCACATTTTGAAGTTAACCTGGATTTCTTTCGGTTCTGATCAGAAGCGGTCCCAGAATTGAATATTATTGGGGTCAAAAAAATTAAAATGTCATTGGTGAGAATCGAATCCTAATTTTAGAGGATTCAAAAACTGTATTTTATCAACTCTACTATCTAATCTTTAGAATTTTCTTATACAAAACTAAGATTTATCCGTTTTTTGTAGTGTCAAACGACCACACACATCTGCGAGTGGGTCCACCTCTGGTCATGATAGCATATGTAATACGCATACATACATATCTATATACATGTTTATCTCTCTCTCGAACAAACAAAAAAGGAATATGTAAAGCTTATCAAAGAGGCATCTTATGAGTTGGTGAAATAGTTATCCAAAACTAATAAGTTCTTTTTTTTTTCTGTAGGACAAGTCCCCTTCTTATACGTGAGGATTATATTCTCGACTCGCCACTTCCACATTTCTCAACGCACAAAAATCTTATTTCGTAACAATTATAAGAGAGAGGAAGAGGGATTCTATATGAGCTAAGCACTTCATTCGCTTTTCATGGTGGGCAAGCGAATTTTAAAGACAACGAATCGAGAATACGTGTGAAAGTAAAAACAAATACATATGTGCCCTCGAGGTCCCCGTTTCAATAATTTTATCCCCATGCAACATGCGGTGTTTTGGGAATATATATAGATTTATCAGCAGAGATTCGCTGACGGTTGCATATACGACTCTTCGTCCTCATAGTTTGCCTTGCTAGAAGGCCAATGGGCATATATTCATTGGGTTCATGCATCATGCATGCATATTGGAATCCCTAAGATGAGTTTCTTTTCCCTTTCAATTTTTGCAAAATATATAACACATATTCTCTATATATAACTTTAAATTGTTAAAAAAAAAATTGTTTCATCGCACCAATACATGCGTGCATATATAATGGAATCCTACAATGTTTCATCAAAATATACTCACTAAAATTTTACACATTTAGAGGTATGTGATTACGTAGTCAACTTTTTGTTTAGAGGGGCCAAAATCATTGGTTGCACACAAAAAGCCGTGTTGATTGTTAAGAGTTTTCAAATACGTTGTCATATTTTTTAACAAAACTACATTGTTATATTAGTATATAGAGTGAAAAGTAAATATTATATATAATATAATATATGGAAAGTAAAAGAAAACGTACGTTATGGGATAAAAAGCTAAAATATATGGAGATCAAATTGAATAAAGAGCAAAACAGGCACTGCACTGTTTTCTTGTTCGAAACGAATAAATAACAGTTACAACACTAGTAAAATCAACATATTACTAGTGTTGTAATAGGTTGATTTTGGAAATTTTGTTCGAAATCGAATTTGTAATTGGATCTGAAATTTCTGATTCTTAGATTGATTAAAATTTAAATAAATAAAAATAACAGGCACTGCACTGTTTTCTTGTGAGTTACTATTTATAACTAACTTGTCAAGTGTTCCAAGAAAAAGAAAAAAAAAACTAACTTATCAAATATGAAAAGAATGTCATCTTTCTACACTAACTACAGGATATATGAAGATTTCTTATATCATGAAATTTCAATGTCGTGAACAAACAGCCTATATAGATATATAATATATAAGGTACCCTGTTATATTTATATTACATGTATGCCATACTTTGGTTTTTTACAAAATTGTATAATAAACTGGCAAATGCAGTTAAAACTAGTAAATTAAGTTAATAACCAATGTGACGATGGCCTGATAACAATAGAGTTGCGAGGACGGGTCGTAGCGTCACACACGAACACGATCGTCCTTATGACTTGTGTGGTTGCAATTTGCTACTCAAGTTGCATTCCCTGTCGAAAATAGAGCTTTTAAGAATTTTTTTTTCAATTATAAAAGAGATTTTAAAAAATCTATTTACACATGTTCGTCTATTGGTTTATTTATCTATCTATATAATTACGTGGAGGAATGAGACGGTCTGATGAAATTATAGAATTATTCAAAGTTGAGATCGATAAAGTTGAGTGTGGCGTCAGCTCAAAAATGCTTCAATCGCGGCCGAGACACGCATGTTCCCACAAACGATTATATTCCTTTTTTAACAACTATTTATTTAAATAAAATACAAAGTTACAATCAGAATCTATAAAATAATAGATTAAGATTAGAAAACATTACAACACAAAGATTTAAGTTATATAGAATTTTTTTTCTAAATCATATTGTTTCTCCTTATGTAACACTAATTATATTTGGCTATTATTATTTTGATGAATTTTAATTCTTTTTTTTTGTAAATTTCTTTGATATATAAGATTGGCCGGATTCAGTGACAGCGCGAGACAAAATTTTTACAGGAAATAATATGAGATTTTAATTTAATTTATAGGTTACTAGAAATTTTACGTTTAAACCATATAAATTTTGAATAATCAAAGAGAATGCACAAAAATAATATATTTTAGGGGGCATCTACCTCCCCTTCCTCTTTATCTTTCTCTGCCATTGGTCGAATTCTTAAAAAAAAAGATTTATAGGTTTTTTTTTAGAAGAAAATTTTATTTTATTATTTTTAATTTGTTGTTGTTAATTTTCAATGATTCTAACACTATTGTCATACATTAAAAATATCACATCACTAATAAAGAACCACCAATAAGTATCTTAAATTATAATTTTCAAGAGCTTTAAATAATTTTGTGGTTGCATTACCACGGACTTATGAGAATGTCCATCATCTTGTAATTCCACGTCTTTAATACACCTTTTCCATAGTAATTTCCATGGTGTTTATTTTTAGAACAAAACGATTAAGATAAACTTTTTATTCTATATTTTGCCCCCAAACTATTTTTTTTTGATAATCTAAAAGACAAAACTTCAATTAAATTATCATATTTAAATATGGAATCCTTTTTTATTGGCGTCAAACAAATTCTCATTTTAAGATACAAAATTGCAGATGAGGATAAGGGAGAAAACTGTAGATTTAGTTTAAATGAAAAAAAAACTGCAGATTCGTTTGCACCTATCATATAGATAAAACATATTGTTGGATATAAGCATTTCTAGTTATATAAATATGTTGTTGATGAATACATGATATATACACTTCGACATGAGTATATATATATATGTTATATAATCTCGTACAAATCATTGCATAATTTGAAACTAATGTTCATAAATTAATCTAACGCACAACGCAATAATTTAACTACCTTCCTCTGCTGCCTATGGAGGCAACATAACAAGTGTTGCGCCATATTATCCTTATGGCTCAAACCCTGTATATACATGAACCTGGCTCTGCATTTTTTACACACTCTAGCATTTGCTTCCTAAACCTATTTGTTTCTTTGCGTTTACATTATTGTTTGCATTTTAATAATATGAGGATAAGGGACTTGGCTTCCATCTCCTCTTTCTAGGTCTTTTTCCTATATGTTATCCCTTCTATAAACATCATTGTATGAGGCCTTTGCTTAAGAAAGAACAATCTTACAAGGCCTTGATAAACGGCTTGATAAAAGATGACGGCCCAGACAAACTAGATTGCACTAGAAAATTAAAATCATAGCAAATACGAAACATTCACATCCTACAAGGCTACAACCTTGTAAGTCATAACACACACGTATTCATCCTGACGGGTTGAAGCGCATATGCCACCGCAGTCGTGACCATATCGAGAAAGCATCAAAATGTTTGTAAGCTACTTGATTGTTTTTAAAAAGCCCAAAATTCACCTTCAACAATATCACACATTTAAGGAGAAAAAAAAACAATATCACACACAGATATTGTTTTTCAAAACTGGATAACCAGTGTTTAAATAGACTAACCCCTATATGGGTTAATGTGTAGATCATTTTACATCAAAACATTCATATTCTCTATACATGCATGTATGGTATGGTATGTAGACGTTTTGTTGGTTTGATATAAATTGCATTGTCATGAACAGGGAATCATTAAATTAAGCGAACCCCTCCATACCATTAATTAGTAATGGGTTACGTGTAACGGAACAATACGCAT